ATTCTAGGGCTAAACATATAGAAATAAAATATTATTTTATTAGAGATTATGTTTAGAAAGGGATTTTATCTTTAAAATTCATAGATACAGACCATCAATGGTCTTATATCTCTACAAAACCCTTAGCTGAAGATAGATTTTTGTTCATTCTGAAGCATCTGAAAATGAATTTTTGTCCAGAGTAAGATTTCATTAGAATCAAATATGTTTAGTCATAGTCTGAAGAAATGATATTCTGATTTAAATAAAAAGTATTTTCTTTTTTATTCAGAACCTCAGTCATCAAAAGATGTTTCTGTAAAAAACGTATCTGATAAAATGGAAACTTTTGGTTGTCCAGACTCTGAGGATATTAAAATGTGTCACTTAATTAGATGTGTTGATTAACGTGTGTAACCCTTGGTTATTACTAATCATTACACTCTACTTAAGGTACACTATGAGCAGTGCATTTTTCTTGGAATTGATTAAATTCATAATTATTACTCTCATTTATTACTCCTAATTATTATGTCTATTTTCTATCTCCACTAAAAGCACTATACACTAAACACACACATGCTCACTTCACTTCCACACTTTTTAGAAACCCTAAACCCCTGACTCTCTCAATTATTCATCAAGTTCTTCATCAAGTTCATCGCCTTCGTCAACAACTTCATCATCTTCAACATCTTCAACAAGAGACTGCTAAATTTACAAATGAGATGGAACAAGCTTTAAACACTTCTGGGTCTTCATCTTCAATCGTTCCACTAAGCTTTTCTGCTCTTATGGTAACTGTTTCATCTTCTCCACCCATCATCGATGAAACTCATATCACAAAGATGCCTGTTCATGTTTCCTATATTAAGATATTCACGAAGCACAAGCATCTTCCACTCCTATGTGTCTTTTGCCGCTTATCCAGAAACTTCAAGTAAGTCTACTACTTCTATACCTGTTTCTGTAGTTGTTTCTAATATTATTAATGCATTATCATCCACCCCTACTTCCATTACACAAACCTATGATTTTTCATCCTTTTCTATTCCACCATCTACCATCACCACATCTGTATCTGATCCTCCTAATACCTCAATCCCTTTAGAAACAAAATCCTTCTGTTTCAACCCCCATTCCATCTCTCACAACTACCATTCCATATGAACCTTTTCAAACTTTCACTTCAACCATAGTTTCTACTCTATTTGAAACCTTTACACCACCACCAGTTTCCAAAAACCTTCATTCCCCAATTTCACAAACTCTACTTCAATTTGCTTTCTCCAACCCATAACCCATCCATTATGACTCACCCACTCACCACTCTGATCCACACCCCCCATCTGACCATGAAATGTCTGAAAGGACTATTTCTGATACTCTTGAAATATCCACTTCCGAATAGTTCACATTTTTTGATATTCTTGATCTTGTTGAATAACCATCGAAACCTCACCCTTCTGCACAAAAACTTGGCCTAACTGTTTATGAAAAACCTGTCCCCAAAACCTTGGATGAATTCATTAATATGTTTCTAAACAAGGCCAGGAAGAAGGTTGCAAAGCTGCAAGAAGAAGCAAGCTCAAGTTCTAAGCCTCAGGATATGGACGGTCCCTGGAAGCTTTTTCAGAAGTGGATGACTCCTGAATTTGAGAGGATGATGAGATTTTTTGAAGCATCCAAAGTTGCTGGAGTTCATATGGGGACAAAAAGAGAAGAATCCAAAGAAAGAATCAGAGTCTTTGAACTCTTCACTGCAAAATAAAGAGAAGGTAAAGCCAGAGCACTTGAAGAAGCTAGGCTCAAAGCTGAGGAAGATGCTAGAGCTGCTGAAGAAGGCAGATTAGCTCAAGAGGCTAAACAAGCAGAAAAAGTAAGACAAGAAGCTTTGGTTGTCTCATCTTCTGATGCTGCCATTTTGTGTCTGGAACAAGCAATTGGTGAAATAAGAAATAAACAAAAAGACTTCAGAGAGAGAATCAATCAACAGAAGGTTGTTAATGACAATGTTTAGAACATACTTCAGTTGATTCTAGAAAAGATATCTTCTCCAACTCCATCATCTTCTGGAACCTAGGCTCTTAGGACTTTTCCTTTTGCTCTGAACCTTATGACTTTGTTTATTTTTTTTCTTCTTATTTCTTTTTGTGTTTTCTCTTTTTGAATTCAATGAAATCTCGTTTCTTTTACTTATTATTTTATTTTCAAAGTTACTTCTTATGTTTTTATGTTTTTTACACATAATTACCTTTTTGATTATGACAAAAGGGGGAGTAAATAACTGAAGTAATATTTTGATTCTAATAATCAAATTCTATGAAAAACTTCTCCAATATAAGGGAGATGCTTACATTCTAACCAAGATAAAATTTTGTTTCTGTTAAAATTGTTTACTTTTTCAGGAATCAAGAACTCTGATAGGAATCAAGATCTGAAAGTGTTAAACAAGATTTTGTTTAACTTGTGGAATCAGAATCTGAGAAGTTTAAGTTCATAATCAGGCTCTAAATTGAAATCTGGAATCTGTCTTTCGTGACACAAAAGGTTCAAGATCTCAACTGGCATGATTGGCATCAAGAATCAAGACTCTCAAGATCTCAATATCTGATATATTGCAACCAGGGGGAGTTTTACCCAGACGATTCACAATCAGGATATATGATCTTCACCAAGTCTTAGATTCATTGGGAGTTTCATATAAAGGATAAGCATTTCTTACCCTTCTTATGTTTGATACTCTTTCTGATTATGTACAAAATTGTGACATCAAAAATACATAGTTTTGTCATCATAAAAAAGGGGGAGATTTTTAGAACAAGATTTGGTTATGCAATAATACCTATGAGTTTTGATGATAACAACGAGTATGTTTGTATGAACAATTTTGGTACTCTTATGTTTTTTATTTTTAGAATTTAAGATACAGACTCTGCTTCTGATGAAAGGCACTGCCAAGACATTAGAAGAGACCAAGTTCTGCTTCTGTGCTATATAAGTTCTGATGAACAGTAGCAAACAACTTCATAAGGCTTTGAAGTTTGGACTCTAATACACATTTAAGAAACCAAGTTCTGAAGATCCGAATGATGAATAAGTCCATATGCCGAAGACTTATGTTTTTGAAGATAAAGAATTCTGAAGACCAAGTGCTGAAGACTCTGAAGACGAAGTTCTAAATAATCTGAAGACTTGAAGTTCTGATGACCTAAGTGTTATTTTCTTTCGTCTAACTCATGCTCAATCGGAAGCCTCTGAAGTCAAGAAGATAAGAAGATAAATATTACGTGGTACAATAATACATGGTACAATCAAAACATTTTATTCCACTACCATGAAGGAAGAATGCGTTGTACGATCTTGTCCCCCATGTAGAATCAAGCTGCCAACTTTTTGAAAATTCCAGAAATGTCCTCCAACGAATATATTATTTTATTGGCTATAAATATGCTTGAAGAGTAAAAGAAAAGGCTGCTATGCTAATTCACGTTCTCTCATAAGACTATTCATAACATTATTATTTTTCTTAAGTCTATTGTTCTTGAAATATTGTTTACTATCAACTTGTATAGAAGCAAATCTATTGTAAACAAATCTTTTTCAAACAGTTGTTTAATTGTGCCTTAAGGGACCAGTTGGTCATAATCCTTAACAAGTCTAAGATTAATGTGTCTTATAGGTTGTACGTGAGTCACTTGCAGTTAGCTTGTGCATTGTAATAATCTGTGTGATTATTGGATTAAGACCTTGTTTGATAAGGCGAAATCATCTTGGTGGGTGGACTAGACTAGCTTGATAGTTTTCAAGTGAAATAGTGTAAACATAACTTTTTCTTTCTTTCTTGTATATTTAAATTTATTATCAATAGTGGAGAAAACTTTTTAAATAAGGGGATTATTTTTAAGAAAAGTATTTAATTTTAAAACTCAATTCAAACCCCCCATTTTTTATGTTTTTCACACCTTCACTTTGGAGGATCCTTTGAGGGGTTTGTTAGAGAAAGCTTAATGTTTAATAAAAAATTTTCATGTTAAATAACCCAAGAAAACTTTGATCAGACATAGCATAAAGGAAACCAAGATCTGCAACTTTCATGTGAAGTCTCATGCCCTAAACATGGCACAACATTAGTGTCAACATAAGCTCTACATACAAAAATTGGGTTATTTATTCATACCAATAATTATGCTTGTGTATTGAGAAATAGTAACACATTTGACCAATAACTTAGCTTTCCATTAAATTGAAGCAATTCTCCATTAACCCATTTTAACCAATTTTTGGGAATTGCTTACCACATTCCCATAAAAAAGAATGTGTTGTTGCTGTATATGCACACTTGTCTCGTGAAAAGTATAGCAAAAACACAATAAAGAAAACTAACCCCAAAAACTCTAAAATTAAAAAACCATATCCGATCAAATTATCTAATAACTGCAAGAATGCTCATGTGTATTATATAATTTATCCCTCAAATCTTCGAGAATGACATGATATGGCTCGTTTGGAGGAGAACCTGTTTCCAAAATTCTACAAAAATTCAAAATTTGTTACATATAGTCCATCAGTAATGATCTGAAATTTTGATCAGTTATTAAAATTCTGATAATGGTGTTAAAAGTGAATTATTTGGAACATGATTATACATACCAATATAATGCTTTGCATCTCTCTTTGAGGATATATGGCGCTCATCATCCCTAACATGGAGCTCGTAGTTTTTATGCCACATAGGCAGTTGCAAAAGCAGGTAAAAGCAAGAATTTAAGAACCTATTCCTTAATGCTTAGTAAAAGCTATAGATTTACTGCAAAAAAAGGATTTACACAACTAAGTTTTGGGAGCTGTGAAAGCACGAATCTAAAAGCATCAAGGTAATTTCGAAAACTAGAAAAATTATGAACTAAAATAGCTATAATTAAAATTCAATAAAATTGGGCTGAAGGTTCACCAGGTTATCTCAATCTCTTCTGTTTCACATCTATTTTATCAGATAACTCCACCATATCCACCTTTAAATGAGAAGTCTTCTTCTTTATGATGAATCCACCACAACTGCAGCATCACTACTGATTTGCAGTATCTGTACGACCTTCCACATCCTTATAACCAAAAAGTTAGAAGTGGAATTGATGGTTTTCTTGTCTTTTTCTTTCGATCAACAGAAGTCAGAAGATGGAACGGTTGGAATTTTCGCATGGCCAAAGAAGAATTGCAAAAACACCGTGTAGCCGCTAATAATTGACAGTATATCATTAATGTATTTTAAATGTAAATAACAATAAAAAATAAAGAATGAAATAATATGATAGGTATTGTTAATTATGGAAAGATTTCAAAAAATAATGTTTTTAAAAATAATTTAGGCCCTAGAAAAGTGACATGTGGCAAAGTTTTCCTAGAACTCCTTTTGCTTTATATATATATAAGAGATAGTAGGATTAAATATTAACCATTAGATTTGATAAATGGTCTTGATGAATATTTATTGTCTATGCTTGTATGTGACTTTATCAAGACTATTTATCAAATCTAATGGTTAATATTTAATCCTGCTATCTCTTATTTTAAAAGTCCCCCTATATATATATATATATATATATATATATATATATATATATATATATATATATATATATATATATATATATATATATATATATATATATATATATATATATATATATATATATATATATATATATATATATATATATATATATATATATATATGAATGTTTGTGGTCCCTATAAATTATTCAAATTTAATTTTAGTCTCTATAAAAAGTCCCTTCAAAGAATAGTCCTCCTAAAGTTTCGCTAGAGGAAAAGTGATTTGATCTGACTTTCTACATCCTGGACTTCCTGGGGACGATGATTGAGACGGGCTGTAGAATGGGTACTGAACATCACGAGAACCTCTCTGACTACCACAAGTATGCACCACACTGGGGATAAATCTATCGTTGCATTGAGGATCCACACCTTTCAGGCGACTAGGGGATCAGGAAAAGAATACATACATCTTGAATGCCCCGGTTTACTCCACTAGGGATCAGAAGACGCATCTGTAGAAATAATATGTTGAACCATGTACAACTTCCGAAACGCTTAAAGTTGCTTCACTGGAGAATTACATCTCGAACCACTCGAGAGATCAAGAGGACGAAGTGGGCATCTTTGAATGCCCCGATTTATTCTCTAGAGAGGATTGGAGAACGGTCCGATGAAGAACACTTGCTGAATGAGCAAACTTTTGATTACTTCAAAACCATTCCACTGGGGAATTGTACATGCAGGTGTCGGTCATATGAAGTCTCTGAGCGCACTCGATCACTTCAGTGGGGAATGTTTAAAGGACGACTTCATGGGGATCACATGTTGAACCATACGAAACTTCTCGATTTCCCCAGGTCACCTCACTGGGGAACTGCATATGCATACGTTGAAACATATGAAACTTATGAGTGCACCCAAATGCTTCCCTGGGGAGTTGCACACACACTATGAATTGCACCAAAATCTTGAGTGTCCCAAATTTATGCTGCCACTGGGGAATCCCACTCGTAACATCTGTAAGGATGAGGAAGACTCTCTTCTTGCTGGTTGTGCCAAGGTGACCGTTATGACGCTTTTAGCTTAATTTCTTCGACAGTTGTCTCGTATAACATAATTTGTTTGAGCAGTTTTCACGAGATTTAAGGGGGGATTCCCATGTCTGTAGGATCTCTGAAAGAACATGTGTTGAATAGAAGACTGGAATACTCGTGCCACAATATGATACGAGGTGGCCTTCCCCAGTGTCTTGGGTCACAAAATAAATTGTCTCTGATTACAGATTTTCTTGGAGATATTTGTTGAGTCTCAACGTGATTTCCCCAGGTTGAATAAATTTGAAGAGATTTATCGACGTGATTGCCTCTGATTGGTTGGGCATACAAACTTTACTCCCTTAAGGGTACTTAGATTGTAAAGCAATACACTGTTCTTTCTTAGCATAATATCTAGATAATGTTCCCTTAGATATGTTATTTCTCTTGAGACAACTAACTTTTTCTTCAACAGAGTATTTAAGCCTCCTTTCTTTAACAAGATCGAGCTCTTCATTTATGCTCATTGTGCAAGATCACTTGATGTTTAAGCACTTTTTCATATGCAAAGAAATGTTTTATTATGAAAATAATAATTCTAATGCAAATCCTATGCTTGTCTTGAAGTTAGAAATTTTTTATTGAAAAGACGTTGAAACATCGAAAGAATTTTTTAATACAAAATACAGTAAAAAGTGGAGTGATACCAACTCAAAAGTTTTAGCAAGCCTCTTAAGAGTCAGGTTACCGTACTCTTGTTATGGTATTTCTTTCGAATTAACCCATGCTTTAGTTAAGGTTTTTAAGGGTTATAACATTGTCTGGTTCACGGTTTTAGAAAAAAAGATTTAAGGCTCAAAATTATTTGGTGCCCACCTATTCTCCATGATGTTCTCCATTCTTACGTTCAGTTAACTCGATACGAGCACTCATATCTCGAGAGAAGCTTGTGATGGTTGAGGAATCACTAAGGTTTCTTAGACATGGCAGTCACTCACCTTTTTCTTTTGGTGTCTAATCACACGACTTTATCCTTTGCTAAGGATTTTCCTCGTCCCTTTTTCGTTACCTTGCTATTTCCCTGCCTAAGCCTCTTTTTTACCCCCTTTTTACTTTTCGACTCAGCGGGATTTCGTTCTTTCTTTTTGAGTAAGTCGTTGATCTTCATGTTGCATTCGATTCGCTGGAAGTGATTGTGACTGCCCGAGTCCTTGATAGATGAGGGATAACCATTGTTGTATCATCATATTTGACCTCTTGGAGTGTGAGAGATACCCATTGGGGTATCGTTCTCTTCAGATGCACACTGCTGATAGATGAAGGTTAGCCATTGCGGTTTTGACTTTCCTCAACCTTTTTGAAGGATAACCATTGTTGTATCCTTAAATGCACACTCTGGATGCATTCTGAATGCCCGATCAGATTAACTGAACACTACACAGCCCTGGGTTAAATGTAAGGGTTTTTTCTGAACAAAAAAGAAATTCCTACTTCAAGGCTCAAAGGGGTTAACGAGGGTTTCACTCCCTTATATCTCTGGTGTTTAGGGATTTAAAAAAATGCTTGTATATCGTCAGCAGGGTTTTACTCAAAAGCTTACCATTTGAGATTATAGGTATATTTCTCATCATCCTCCCTCTAGAGGTTTTTGCTTTGTCAAACAAGAGTTAAGCATCAAAAATCCAATAAAAACATTAATGAGTGAATACAAATGGATTAATTCAAGACAAATATATTCAATGCATCATGATTAGTATTCAAGAATAAGAAAGTTTTGCATACAAGAAAGTATTGAACCAAACAAGAATGATTACAAATAAGAATGCAAATGAAACTAGAAAATTTCCATGTCAAGGAGACTAGTCTCCGTATGGACTTGTTGCTTCGGAAGATACTCTGGAAGTCTTGACATTCACTAAGTCGAAGGAAACTTCAAATCTGATCGGCTGGCCCGAAATTGACAGCCTTTGCATTGAGCAGGTCTTGTACCTTTTCTTTGAATGGTTTACAACCTTCAGTTGAATGGCCAGGTGCCCCTACATGGAAATCACATCGGATTCCCTCAACAGATGTGATGAATGATTTATCAAGAGAACTTGCATAAACTGCATCACAAAGTTTCTTATACTACAAAAAAGAAATACCAACCATCTTCTACTACACAGAAGAGAAAATTAGCCACTAAACTCAGGAGCATCTCTTACTACACAAAAGAAGCACCGTCTTCTACTACACATAAGCAAATTGTAACAAGATCTTCTACTACACAGAAGAAAATGAACTTCATCTCCTACTTCACAAAAGAGAAGTTTTAGCAACTGAATTATGGGGAATATCCTTCTTCACAAAGAATCTCCGTCTTCTACTACACAGAAGAAAAATCCAGCAACCATATCAAAGGATCTTCTACTACACAGAAGAAAACAAACTTTGAATGTAGAACTTTACCTTTGAGGTATTTTTCTTCTACACAGCAGCAGATGTCCAAGAACTCAATATCTTATACTTCTTCATCACAGAAGCATCACCTTATCTTCTACTACACAGAAGAATCATTCAGCTGAAGAGAAAGAGTCTGAAACAGTTTTCCAAACATGGACTAGACCTTGGAAAAGAAGCCATGCAAGTTCCAGACTTCATTATCATAACCAGGTTCCCTAGAATGGGAGACACATCTAGCATTTGCATCGAAATCAGGAGATAAATTTGTGAGAGGATGACCCAAAGCACGAAGCTTAATCAACTGAGCTTCCAACACATAAGGAAGTAACTGGATGCAAGGTATAAAAATTGGATTAACATGCTTCTCAGTTTTCTTCTGTCTTTGCTAATAAGCTTTGCCTCATGGGTTCACTTGAAGACCAGAAGCTAGTTGCCGACGAGAAAATACGGAAACACGAAGTTATGGATGAGACCCATAAAGTATCTCATGATTTGAAAAATGTCCCATAGGCTAGGGATGAATGACAACTTCTATTGCAACATCGTATATAACATCACTTTCCTTTTCTGACACTGTCTTCAGAATTTCCATTTCCGACTCAACAAAGTCTCTAACTGGTTATTTTCCCCCTTAAGGATTTTTTGACTATGAGTCATTGCTTACATGTCCCCAATAAATATCCCCATCTGATTTTTCATCTCACCCAATTCCCCATGAAGTCATTCCATGGCTTTTTCGGATAATAGAGCGGTGAGAAGTCAAGATTCACAGTTCTGAAAAGAATACCGGGCCTGAATACGAATTTCCCACTCTGAGTACATGTTATGGATGCGTGAAGATGCATGAGGTGAATGAGTTGATGCAATTCCATTTTTCAATCATTTTCAAGGAATCCACGTGCTTTTAGTTTCGATTTCGATTCAGTAAGAGATGGACAAACACAACATAATGTTCACAAGCACAATTCCTTGGAAATAGAAAGAACATGTGTGTTAAATTTTTTCATGCATACAATTTTTTTTACTCATTTTTTTGTAAAAAGTAAATATGCTATGATGCAAGTGCAAAACCATAGGTTCAAAAGTTCATTATAGCAACTGTACAATCCTCTGGATAACTGTTGTATTAATCTGCTGAATAATCCAAATATCACAGGATCAAAGGTCCGACACCAATTTCAGAATAAAACGGAACCAAA